AGACATGGAAAGGAAAGAGTTTGATGCTCAAAATATGACTTTATTTGAAACAAGTGGAGGGACAGGGCAGAAATTACATAGTTAGGGGCACTTAAATCAGTGCTGAGTGTTTACTGCGTATCCATAGCGACCACTCCCTTAGCACCTTAAAGCAACTCCTTGTCATATCTAACAACATTTCTCGCATACAGTGAAGTCAGGACGGGAAGTTTTCTGATGTCTCAACCTCTAGAAGACAGTTTCTGTTTCGTTAATGAAGCTATTCAGAGATCCTGTTTTCAATAAACCTGAAGAATTCAGACAGATGGTTGAACCTCATCCTACTAAGCCCTAAAACGAACCGCGATCTATCTTGGACTTTTTTCAAATGATCAGTAAATAGACTTATTCATAATCTATAAATCTAAAGGTAATACCACCCATTTGCCAAAGAAATAATATAAACATAATAATAATCCTGATTAAAAAAACATTGCCAAAATTATAGCAAAGTACATGCCTAAATACAGCCTTTTCCTCTCAATTGTATGCCTTCGAGAAATTAATCAACCAATTTAAAAAATGAAATTAACCAGCTACAGAAACGAAAAACTATTTGAAAGTATTCACTTTAATTGAGCACAACAGCTAAGAGATGCTTACCCTTAGAATCAATAACACAAACAATCCAGTTTGCATAAACTGCCAGGCAAGATGTGCTAGCTTAACCACAATGTAATAGTAAAGCCATATCAAAAGCAAAATCCTTTTTTCAAACCTAATGCTAGCTTAATCTTAAGGAGGATTTCACAGCAGTTAGTCTCTTGAGGAAATACATAATTAAGTAGTTTTTTAGCATATTTAATTAGACCCCAAACTCTTCCCTGTCCCCTTCTCTCCCCAATTATGTACCATTTGCCCAAGAGACCTAAGCAACTCAGTTAATTATGTAAATAAGGCAAGCATTATTCCCAAGAAAAGCATTGTGAATAAATATAGGGGGGAAATCCTACATATTTTAGTGGCTTTAACAAACCTTTGAAAAATACATGGGAAAACCTTAACATTTGAGGTAAAAAGCATGGTGTTCAATGACAAGATGGTGAATCATTTTAAAAGGACACTCATTTCACCTCTTAAATATGAGCTGAATAAGAATAAAATAATTTTAAGTTACAACAGCAACAAAAATTTAGTGCTGAACATCAAATGATTTACGGGAAGAATCAATCTGGAAATTATTAAAGTTGACTCTCACAGAAAAGGCTTTATTATCAAGGGGTTGACATGATCTTAACTCCAGAGGCAGCCATGGTGCTGTTATAACTACTACAATCCCATTATTATGCAATCACAAAATGCTAATTTGATCATTTTGAGGTGTTATTTGAATAGTCATTTTAATTTCTAGGTTACAAAAAGGCTTGACTCAAGTATAATTCTCTATTAATCATTGAGATGTCATTGAATATCATATTGATGCATTTCACAAAGATAAAGAAAGACTAATTTAATATGTACAGTACAATATCCTTCAAATATTAGCCACTTTCATTACATATCTGCCAAATGCATCAATATTAAAAATAGATGAGAACAAGGGTTTAATTATATTTTAGCAATTGTAATATGTAGGGTAATAATAAAATAGCATCTCATCACAAGACAGACTTATATAAATCTTTCTTAATCAATGTGTAATGGTGACTGCCCCACATTCTTTGATTACAAAGAGACTTAATATGACAAAAGCATCCAGAGTCTTAAGTGTAATAAACACACATCTAGCAAAAATAATTACTTTGTGACTGACGAAATGGCTTCTTTACATTTTTAAAAAAATTTCTCCTTGTTACTTTAGAAGTTAGATAAATACCAAGCAGAGATCACAACCTTTTGACAAATTCAAACCTAAATATTTATATCAAAGAATCTAATAGTATGATGATGATGCCAATTCTAGAATATAATATTTTAGAAGAGCTGTGCTATTTTGTTGGCATCAAAGCATTACCATATATTAATTATTCCAGCAATCACAATCTCAAACAATGAGGTGGTTTCAGGCAATGGAAGAAAATAAATTCCAACCATGTAACCTAATCCGGTAACTTCTCACATATCCAAATGAATCAACTTAGTATTTAAGAAAAAAATCCTCTACAGCCCAACCTGCCGTTTTCCAGAGGCTGACATTCTTGTTCCCTAGGGGGACCCTTCCTTCTCTTTGTTGCGTTCCACAAGAAAAAGGAGAAGGCAGGAGGGCAGGCTTAGAGAAACTTTACACTAGTCAATACCATCTCTAATTTACTAAAGGTACTTTTATGAGCATATTATTATCTTCATGTTATCTATCATTTTGTTTCCAGTTCTTGTTCTCATCAATAACCTTATATGCTGATGGCTATATATGCTCACTTAGGCCTATGGAAACATGCTGTATTGTATGAAGCGAAAGTGTTTTGGGTTTTTGAATATATAATTTTATTGATTTCAAAGAGGAAGGGAGAGGGGGAGAGAGAGAGAAACATCAATGATGAGAGAGATTCACTGATTGGCTGCTTCCTGCATGCTCCACATGGGGGACTGAGCCTACAATCCAGGTATGTGCCTGACTGGGAATCAAACCGTGACCTCCTGGTTCAGAAGTCGATACGCAACTACTGAACCATCCTGGCCGGGCAGGTAAAAGTGTTTTGAAGAGAAAACACCTTGCTCAAAGATGACAACTGACAGAAGCAGCACATAACCAGAACTTGAATATGAAAAATACAAACATAAGCAAAGAGCTGTGTGTTTATTAATTGCAATGGTGTTGAAATAAGACAAATCGTATATAACCCCTCCAGGCAACAACCTATCACTCAGCATCCCTATGCCACTGCCAGACAGCAAACATAATGGCAATAAATATAAAAATCAACTGCTACTTCTTCTGAAAGAGGCCCGGCTCAGCACAGAAACACAGGATGGCAGGGGGTGGGGTGCACATGGAACTGTACTCCACCTAAAGTAGTGGCCATTTTGCTCAAAGGAAAATAATAAACTAATGTTACAATTGTGAATTATTATAAGAAAAGTCTCCTGCACAGCAAGTGTCAAAAAAGATTCTCTAGAATGAAATTCTGACAAGCAAAGCAATGGCCGGGAATTTCTGAAATGAAGCTCCAAGCTTAATAATTCCTGTAGTTATGTTACAAAATCAGACAAGACGATGCTGCCCCCCGGAACCACTTTCCAGGCTTTCCCAACCCAATTAGACCTTCATGAATCACAACCCACTAACCCAAACCCTCAAGTACACTTGGGAGATTACAAAAAAGAAAACAACAACACACAGATACATATCTCAGGACTGGTTTTGTTTTAATCCTTCTCAACATATTATAGTAAACCCAGTTCAGACCTTTTTAAAAATATGAGTGACATTCTATAATTATCTGAGTCATTTTTTAAAACCCAAATCTAATAATAATATAATAATACCAATAATTCCACTGATTGAGGTTTTTACTTAGAGCAGTGATTTTTAACCTTTCCCATCTCATGGCACACATAAATTGCTAAAATTCTGCAGCACACTAAAAATATATTTTTTGCCGATCTTCAAAAAAATAGACATAATTTTGATTGACTTACAAAAATATATATGAGAATGATAATTGCCGACCCCTTTTGCTCCAAAGTGACTTTTTAAAAACTAGGTGCCCATGCCCAGCCAGTGTAGCTCAGTGATTGAGTGTTGCTACATGAACCAGAAGGTCCCAGTTTGATATCTGGTCAGGGAACATGCCCAGGTTGCAGGCTTGATCCTCATTGTGGGGCATGCAGGAGGCAGCCAATTGATGATTCTCTCGCATCATTGATATTTTTATCTCTCTCTCCATTTCTCTTCCTCTCTCTGAAATCAATAAAAACATTTTTTAAAAAATAACCATCCATCACACATCCTGCATTGATGATGCTCAGTGAACATTCCTGTTAGAACTGGCGAGAGGTTGCCACGTTAGCCCACTGCTTCTTTTCTAAGAGCATCAAACCCAATAGTATTTCTGCCCAACGTGGTTGAGGTTGATCAGTGAGCAGAATGGGCCTTTCATGTCAGAAATACTGTGACAGAAACATTGCCAAATCCTCTCCTGGTACAGTCTCCATGCCCCGCCACACCTGACCTCCCTGTCTCGGTTGGCTTCCAGACTGGTGGCCACCGGACTGGCTTCTGGTTTGGGTTTGGTTCCTTTGGTAAAGACTGTGTCCTGAACACATTTCAGAGCAAACTTTTGTGTGCACAGCGTGGCTGGAATGTTCGTTTCAAAGGTACTAAACTCACGTGCAGAAGTGAGTTTAGTACCATAAGCCTGTGATGTAGATTCGTTTTCTGTTACCTGAAGAAATCCGTGTGTACGCTTTGTTTAACCTCAGATATGTTTAATACAAATAAACAACTGTATCAAAATTCTAATAAACTTTGTTTAAAAATCTTTAAAAAAATAAAAATAAAAAATAATCAGGTGTCTACACTTGTATACTTGAATTTTTGGTACCAAGAATTAACCAATCAAACCAATTTTATTATGCAGTGACCAAACAAGATGCAACTCTATTATATAACCTATAAATTTATGGTTCAAGATAGAGCATTCACACAGATGGCTATTGCTGTGTTGGCTGTTGTCTTTTTGACAACCTAAGGGAAAAGAGGCTAGGGCCTCTGACTAAGTTGTCAGGTATTGCATGTTTCAAAAATTCTTGAAACACACTGGTTGAAAATCACAGACTTGTCCTGGCCTATGGACTTAAAAGTCCCAGGTTTGATTCTGGTCAAAGGCACATGCCCAGGTTGCAGGCTTGCTCCCCAGTGGGGGACGTGCAGGAGACAGCCAATATAGGATTCTCTCGCATCATTGATGTTTCTATCTCCCTCTCCCTCTTTCTCCTTCTCTGAAATAAATAAAAATATACGTTTTTAAAAAAGAAAGAAAATCACGGACTTAAAGACACAAAGTTTTATTTTTACTTACCTTGCCATCAAATTTGGAATACTCATTAAAGGGGTTATTCAGCTGCAGAGGGCACTGCTCTAGGCGTACAGATAATATGGACTGCTTTCCAGAACTTGGAGGTTTCTCTTTGAGGGACTTTTTTTCAAACAGTGACTTTAACTCTTGGGCTGTGATGCAAGAGGAAGACAGAAACATCTTTGTGATTGCACATAGAAAGACAGCCAGTCCACCTACCATAAAAAGTCTTCTTTGGAACCTTAAGGAAGGAGGGTCCAGGGACATAAGCAGGTCTAATGTGTGTGTGGGGGGGGGGGGGGGAAGCTTCATATACACTTCAATAAGAAACACACAGGTCAGGATTGTTAATTCAACTAGGATTTAAGGACCGGGTTGGGGTTGGGGTTGGAGTTGGGGTTGGGGTTAGGTGAGTCAGACAAATCAACAAAGCAGCCAATCTGTAAGAAACACATTCATAGCTAGAGGTCCCAAGCTTTTGCCTGGCTTTGCCACTACCAGGTGTATAATCTGGACAATTCACTAGACCTTTCTGGGCTTGTCCAACTAGATAATTTTGAAGATCTCTCCTGACTCTAATATTCTGTGATTTTGGAATTATAGTTCCTTAAAGTCAAGGTGCACATCTTAATCCTCTCACACTCTCCAATGTCACCTAGCACAAAAATATGGAAGACAAAGCTGATGAGGAAAAGGAGAGAGTATTTTAATAATAGTATGGGGGGTTCATTATGCCATTCTCTCTATTTTTGTATATGTTTTAAATTTTCTATAATAAAAAGTTGTATTAAAGGAAATTTAAGCTAAAAATAAAAAAATAGGTAACATATCACATCACCATCACTACTCGATGAAATCACTTTGCTGACAGTAACTATTACATTTCTTACAAGATCTTCCATGATCTAGGGAGATCTGGGGGAGATAAGAGATCAACCGAAGGACTTGTATACATGCATATAAGTACAACCAATGGACATAAAACTCTGGGGAGGGAGGGTATGTATGGGGGGGGGGTATTGGTAAGATACGTACACAGATAATAATTTAATAAAAACAAAACAAAAGATCTTCCATGATCAAGTTTTCTACTACTTCTTTGATTCCACTCTTCCCCTTACTTACTCTACTCTGACCAATTAGCATCCTTTCCTTGCTATTCCTTGTATACATCAGGCACAATTCTGTCACAGAAACTTTTCATTTGATGTTCGCTTGTCTTAGAACACTCATCTCCCAATATCTGCGTGGTTCACTCCTTCTCTGCTCAACCATCACCTTCCTAAAGAGTCCTTTCCTGCAACTGAAGCACATGCCCTTGACTGGAATCAAACCCACAACCCTTCAGCTAGCTTGTAGGCTGACACTCTATCTACTAAGCCAAACCGGCCAAGGCAAAAGATTTTTAATATATATAAAAGAATATATAGGAAATCATGGAAATGAGATGCAAAAAAGGAGAAGTGGGATTTCTGATTCTACAGGGTCATCATTTAGAAGCAAGCATTATGAAAATCAGACCCACTGAGCACACTCAGGTTTACAATCACAGGAGAAAGCAAGAACCACTTTACATGGTGTAGTTTGGCAGAGAGAGACTGGCCTTTAGAGGCAGACAGTGCTAGATACAAAGCATGGCGCTGTACGGCTCTACCACTTCCTAGCCTTGTAACTTTAGCAAATTTAATCTCTCTGAGCCTCCATCTCATCTGTCTCATCTAATCAATGATACCTACACCTTATAAGATCAGTGCATTGGAGATAATGCAGAAGAACTGCTTAGAACAGCACTAGATAGGTGTTGGTGATAATTAGTAATCATTAAGATTGTTAGTTTTATAACGGTCTACTACAGCAATGGAGTCAGTCAACAAAAATTTATTGGACATCTATTAAATGCAAGGTAGTACTGGGAGTTGATGGGAAGGTATAGAAGGCAGACTGCAGACATTTTTTTGAAAGGAAAAAAAAAAGTCTAGGAAACATGATATAAACATTAGAAATTATTTTAATAGCACTTTATTTGGAATTTTTTAATGTTTTCTCTTATTGAGATTAAAGCTTTGAAAATACATAATGTGATCAGCTTCTTAATAATACATTATCATATGAACATGTACTGCATATGCTAATAATACCAGTAACATAATGGTTTTTAAACTAAAACAAAGAATTCGCATATATGCAACAGAGATTGTTACTGAGGCCATAATAAGGTAAGGTAAGCCGAGACCGGTTTGGCTCAATGGATAGAGCGTCGGCTTGGGGACTGAAAGGTCCCAGGTTCGATTCCGGTCAAGGGCAGGTACCTTGGTTGCGGGCACATCCACAGTAGAGGGTGTGCAAGAGGCAGCTGGTCGATGACTCTCTCATCGATGTTTCTAGCTCTCTATCTCTCTCCCTTCCTCTCTGTACAAAATCAATAAAATATATTTTAAAAATAAATAAATAAATAAAAAATAAGGTAAGGTAAGGTCTAGGTTAGAACTGCCAGGAGAAATCTACAGCCCAGAGGCCCATCCAAATAGGTACCCCTTGACTCTAAGAACAAGGTACTAGCATGACAGTGTGTACAAAATGTGCCTGCCTCGCACACATCAATCCCTGTGACCCAGAACTAGGAGTGGCACCCAAATGAAGAGTTCAAATCTCAAAACACAAGAGGTATCCACGCAGAGGATTAAAAAGGATGAATTAAGCCCTAACCAGTTTAGCTCAGTGGATAGACATCAGCTTACGGACTCAAGGGTCCCGGGTTCAATTACAGTCAAGGGCATGTACCTTGGTTGCGGGTACATACACAGTAGGGAGTGTGCAGAAGTCAGCTGATCGATGTTTCTCTCTCATCAATGTTTCTAACTCTCTATCCCTCTCCCTTCCTCTCTGTAAAAAATCAATAAAATTTAAAAAAAATAAAAACACTTGTATAATAATATACACTAAATATATAAATCTCATGTTAACAATGAAAATTATTTCCATTTACCTGATTGCTTAGAATTTCTTTCTTTCCACTGAATATTCTTGCATTTGATTTGGTTTTGTCTCTCTTTTCGAAGTCGTTCTAATCTTTGAGCTTGAAAAGAAATATTATAACTATAAGTTTGTCAATGAAAGTTTACTATAAACAAAGACATAATTAACTACCTTTATATGAATAAAGATGTTTTATATTTATATGTAGGGAAAAAGTCATAAAATTTTAAAGGTGGCACCCCTGAAAAGCAAATACCAACAAAAACATGAAAATATTCTTGATTTATAATTGAAATTAGAGGATATAAAACATTAATAGAGATCATAAAGATAGTATTAACATGGAAGAGAATAATAAAATGTGAAAACTTCTGTGATTAATATGACATTTCATTATATAAATCATTAATAACGGTCTTAAAGGAATTTTAATGCACAAATGAACTGAAGTGAATATTACATTACAGGAATAAAATTACTGTTATGAATTACTCTACTCGTTTCAAAAATTAAAGATAAATGAACTCAGACTAGACTATTAAAGTTTTAAATATAAAATCCTTTATCTAAAAATCATGAAAATTATAAAATGTCAAAGCTATATAAATTAGCATAGCTTTTCTTCAGTGGGCTGAAATAGTTTATAGGTAGTAAAATAAATGATTTGTATCTTTGTAACATTAGTCAAATCTTAAAAAGAACAATTTTTCTTATACAAAATTTTAAGATATGCTGAAAGGATTAAAAAGTAAATTCCTTGGTCACAGGACACCCCACAATCTTAATTATATAAGTGCTATCTTAAGAATTCCAACAACAATAACAAATCATCACCTAAAATTATGCATTTGTGATTATATTACCACAGGCTGATTACCATAGGCAAAATCGGCTGAACCAATCTTTTAAATAAATATTGTCCAACATACATTAACAATATCCATATGGACCACAATGGAAAAGGAAGTCACAATTAATGCAATCTCTTTAAATTAGTTTCCTATTGCACTTCCTATTGTGGTACAATGCTAACAAAAAAATAAATAAGTAAATTTCTCAAAGGTAGGAAATGATACACTCCTGCCTTAGCACTATGGTAGGGAAACACAAACTGATTTTGCCCGAAATGTAAACTATACTGGCAAAAGCATTCTGACAATGCCACTGTATGTAACCAAATCCCACTCCATTCAATTGCAATTAATAAATGTGAAGGGTACAGCTGAAATAATATAATCATGATACTCTCAATTGAGCAGCATTCTTCTACTGAGATCCATTCAACTTGTCATATAAGATATCATCTCAATAACCTACAAGGAAGTCAGTTTCAACCAGAGAGCTGAGAATCAATAGTTCTAAATTATAGTCAAACCTTCACTCAAATCCTATTTTGATAAAAGTTCCTTTAGATACTAGAAAATGCTATTAATTATTTTCATCATGAGAACAAATTATTCTTTGTGGATGTCACAGAACACTGAATTGTGAACCAAAATCTTAACATGGCCTTCTCTGTAAATTGTAACCTGCTCTACTTGCAGTTTTCTTCAAGTAAGTATTTTCAATGTCCTACCACATCTCCTACCACTACTTTTCTTGGGAGCCACAGCAGGATACTGTTACTAATTAGATTCTATTTTCTGATTTATTGCCTTCCCCCCCCACCCACCAAAAAAAAAAAGTTTCCTAGAATACCCTGATATAGAACAATTACATATTCTAAATAATTTATCTGTCGCAGTAAAGGCCTTGGCTCATCACATTTCCTTTGAAATGCTTCCAAAAAAAAAAATAAATAAATAAATAAATAAATAAATAAATAAATAAATAAATAAATAAATAAAGCTGGACAATGGGCAATGATAAACTTTTTAAAACTAATGACTAAATATATATATCAAAGTTACATCTTTCAAGCCACAAAGATGTAAGTACAGAGATCAACTTAAGAAAAAAAGGTAATGTATGAAAAACAGGAGCACCTTTTCTAATCTCACACCCAATGCAGGAATTCCTATTAAAAAAGCAGCCTGGGCCCTAGCTGATTTGGCTCAGTGGATAGAGCGTTGGCCTGTGGACCAAAGGGTCCGGATTCAATTCCAGTCAAAGGGCATGCCTGGGGTTGTGGGCTCAATCCCCAGTGGGAGGCGTACAGGAGGCAGCCAATCGATGATTCTCATCATTGATATTTCTATCTCTTTCTCCCTTCCTCTCTGAAATCAATAAAAATATACTAAAAAAAAAAAAAAAAAAAAAGAAAGCAGCCCCAGTAAATATTTAGCTATCTCCTTCTAATCTCCAACCCTTACAATTCCTCCAAGGGCAAGAACTGTCTCAGGCAGCAGCCCTCCTTGGCTGGTCAGCTGCCTCTCTAGAAGGTTTTGTATTGCTTGGCTGGTGTGGCTTAGCAGTGAAGCATCTATCTATGAACCAGGAAGTCAGGGTTCAATTCCCAGTTAGAGGCACATGCCTAGGTTGCATGCTTGATCCCCGGTAGGGGGCGTGCAGGAGGCAGCCAATCAATGTTTCACTCTTATAGCTGATGTTTCTATCTCTCTTCCTTTCCTTCCTCTCTGAAATCAATAAAAATGTATTAAAAAGAAAAAAGGTTCTGTATTATATCAACCTGAAGTCTCCTTCCCAGCAGTCTACCTACTAGGACTGATGTTGCTTTGTTGAAGATTCTTAAGTCCCTTCTTACAGACTTTAGAAAATAGAACACCCAACCTGCCTCTAATAGCCAACTTTCTATTTCCTTCTAATAGCATCATTCCAGAGGCTCTCCATTCAGTAGTGGAGATGGACATACTGCTTTGACCATTCTTGGTGTTAATACATGCATACTCCTGTTTACACACTGAGACTTTGCCATTAAATCTAGTCCAACATTATGCATTATTGTATAAAATTGGTTAGTGATGTAAAACTTAGAAGACATGACTAAAAGGCAATGTTTACCTGTATTTGAGCGTCTTCTAATACCAAAGTCCCAACTTGAGGTAATATCGACTGACTGGGCATATACATAGCCCTGAGTCTCACCATTGCTTCCCTGAATGTCAGACTCACTGTCTCCAGTCATTGAAGGAGGATGAATCTTCTCTAGGTCAACATCATGATCAATGAGAACCATCTCACACATTCCTGTGTCATCACTGGTCACATGTGACTGTCGAATATGAGCTAGAATGATAGTTGGATTGTCCAAGAAGGCCATCCTTTCTGTGGGCCAGTTTCCTTAAAAGGCTATTTTCTCCTCTTCATATTGTTTCACAGGCTCACCTACCTAGAAACACGATGTACACAGCAATGTTTAAGAATAAGGCAGAATAACTTTTCAAACAAATACAATGTGGTAAAATGCTACCTTGAAAATCAACATTTATCCCTGTACCTAGGAGCTTAAAAGGATTAAGTCTAAGCTGAAAGGAAATCCTTATCGGCACTAAGAGCTAAGGCTCCAGTCAATGAGGTCTCCTCTTGCAAAACAAATAATAGTAACTCCTTAGTCCACTCAAGGTATACAACTACCGTTAAAACAATACACTTTCCTTCCTTTCTCCCTTTATTCCATGCAGTCTCCTCATCACTTTATAAGGTGATAAATGAACAAGTTGTATTTTCTTCAAACGACATGCTGAAGTATTAAACTGCATATTTCTTCAGTTTACACTCCCCCATCATATATGGTTGTGAAATATGTACTAGGGCACAGACAATGCTTTCTGAGTTACTAGGAAATTTACGAAAATGTACTACCAAAGTAATTTTGTTCAATAAATACATGTTCCTTTCTTCTGATTTAAAATAGTATTGTGCTTTTTAAAATAAAACTTATTAATCAAACTTGTCTCTTACTAGATTAATTTCTTATTTTAGAAACCTAATTATAAGAACTGCTTCCTGAACCCTATTAAAACTGCAATGCTGTTTATTTTGGGAACAAGATGGTACCTCCTCAGTTGTATGGGAAGAAAATATTACAGAACAGTGGGGAAGAACCTAAGGCCCTATAGGCAAAACTGGGTTCAAATCCTGACCCTATCACTTGCTAGCTATGTAATGTTGGTCAAAATAACATTAACCTCTTTCAGCCTGTTTTCTTTATTTATAAAACGGGAATCTCATAGAGAAGATAATGCAGAACAAGTGCTCAAAAGAGTACCTGGCAATAACTAAATATTAGCTGCTATAATTTCAGCTTTCAATTTGTGTTTCAAGTAACCCTAAAATACATCAACAATTTGCCCTTCTCTGGTAAAGTCACAGCAGGTAAATCCAGGTTGTGCTTCCTTTGTGACAGAGGACTCTGCAGGTCGTCTGAGTCACCGCCCTGCTCCTCTAAACCGTTAGGAAGTACAACAATGGGAAAGCTGGATTGAATTTGTTCCTTCAACAGTCCTGGAATTTATTTTTAGAAAGACCTATATAACACCAGCTTTTCTTGTCATTTGTTTCTTCTAGAAATGGAACATGGGGGAAATCTAGTTAATAAATCATTATAGCTAACAGGTTTTAAAATTTTCTGTCTGGTAATATATTCTATTGGCATCACTCGGTGGTTCTTAAAATAAAGATACTGAGATTAAGAAAAAGTTTAACCGAGGAGCATCTCTAACCAAGTGAATTACGTTATCGCAGTTTTTTCCTAAATATATTCACTGAGGTCCTCGCTGGCTTGGCTCAGCCTTTGGATTGAAGGGTCCCAGGTTTGATTCTGGACAAGTGCACATGCTTGGGTTGTGGGCTCGATCCCCAGTAGGGGGTGTGCAGGAGGCAGCCAATCAATGATTCTCTATCATCATTGATGTTTCTATCTCTCCTTTTCCCTTTCTCTCTGAAATCAATAAAGAAATATACTTAAAAATAAAAATATATATTCACTGAGTACTTATTTTACACAGGGGCTAATGGGAAATGCAAAGTTAAGGAATCCATGAATGGAAAGTTTATACCTTAACACACACCTAGTAAGTCTCTGAATACAATGTGATTCTTCTAAGTGTCAAGTTTCTGAGGCATTCAGTCTCAGAAATGTTAATGTCAGCTCACCATTTTAAATGGGTTAATAAAAAAATATTATAGAATTTGCCCTGGCCGGTGTGACTCAGTGGTTACAGTGCCTACTTGAGCACTGAAGGATAGCAGGTTTGATCCCAAACACCAGTCAGGGCACATGCAGGAAGCAACCAATCAATGTCTCTCTCTCTCCTTCTCCCTCTCCTCACTCCCTTCTACTCAATGGAAAAAAATATCCATTAACAAAAAAACAAACAAAACACAAAACATTACAGAATTAACAAGGGACATTTAAATTCCATTTATAAAAATAAAAGCTTCTGCCCGGCCAATGTGGCTCAGTTGGTTGACATTGGCCTATGAAGCAGTAGGTCATGGTTCAATTCCCAGTAGGGGCACATACCTGGGTTGCGGGCTCGATCCCCTGTACGGCTGTACAGGGTTTTGCAAGAGGCAGCCAAACAATGGTTACTCTCTCTCTCACCCTCTCCCTTCCTCTCTGAAATCAATAAAAATATATTTTAAAAGTAAATAAATAAAAACTTCTTATATAGCCACAAAATAATGTATACAACCACAGAATTACTTATAAATGAGCATTTCTGTTTTGTTACAGAATCATAGGTTCAAAGATCACCAGAGCTTCAAATACCCTCTCTACAGTCACGATAAGCATCTCCCCCATAAAAGGAAGGCAACTGGCTGCCAGCAAAAGAGGGGCAGATGCTTTCAACCTGATCTTGAATAGTTCTCCCCTGCAAAAACAGGGGCTTCAGCAAGGACCACACGTTTAATGGATGTTCTGGCACTGAAGAATCAAACAGCAAAGGGCAAAGCAACAAAAGTAGTTTACTGAATACCCTCCTTCTTTTCAAGGAAAACGGACCTGCTCCATCACTTCTCATGAAGAAAAGAGTTATGGACAAACACTTGTGATGGCACACACCAACTCCCTAGTTTTATCCTTACAGAACTCAGCCCTTAAAGCATCCCAACACGAAAAGGTATCTTCTCTATTAATACATTATGACTTCACACAATGAGGAATCTGTATGACTCACTCAACAAATAATGCATTCAATATCAGTTCTTTTAAAAAAAATTTTTCCTATTAATTTTTTATTTTTTAAAGAGAGGAAGGGAGTGAAAGAGAAGCATTGATTGGCTGCCTCCTGTATGCTGCCTACCAGGGATCGAGCCTGCAACCTGGACACATGCCCTGCCTGGAAATCGAACAGGCAACCTTTCGGTGCAGAGGATGACGCCCAACCAACTGAGCCACACTGTCCAGGGCAATCCTGGTTATGATAGGGGACTCCCCACAGGATGCCTGGGAAATGTGCTTTCCACCTCCTATGACAAGTACTTGAGGATTCAGACTGTCAGTCTCAAAGACAGGGGCTATAACACCACATCCCTTCTGGCAACAAAGGATCTTATACATTTCAGGAATTCAAAAAATGTCTCTGCCTGACTTCCAAGGACTATACACTTCTGTTGTAGAGATTAGACATATATGAACATGTCATGTGTAAGAGAGATTATAAAGAAAGGATTGCCTTTTTTCTATTAATACAAATACAAGAACTCTTCAATGTGCTCTTCAAAACTGTCACCTTGGGACACTATCAACTTATTCCAATACTACTTTTTAAAACCAAATAATATGTTTTAAATCACTTAAAGAGCAGCAAATTATCATTTGAAGGTAGATTTGATTTCTAACACAAAGATATTCTGAACACAGATTAAAACAAGTTATTTCCTCTCATCAGTTGTAAAAAGATTAAAAATGTTTAAAATTAATGTTGGCTGGCGCTCAGAAAAATGGACTTTTTTGCCGAAACCGGTTTGGCTCAGTGGTAGAGCATCGGTCTGCAGACTCAAGGGTCCCGGGTTCGATTCCAGTCAAGGGCATGCACATTGGTTGCGGGCACATCCCCGGTACGGCGTGTGCAGGAGGCAGCTGGTTGATATTTCTCTCTCATTGACGTTTCTAGCTCTCTATCCTTCTCCCTTCCTCTCTGTAAAATATCAATAAAATATTGGGGGGGGAAAAAGAAAAATGGACTTTTTAATGGGCAATTTAGATAAAAAAGTTCTGTAAGATAGAGGTGGTGTTTGCACAACAATGTGAGTATACTTAATGGCCTTGATCTGTACACTTGAAAATGGTTAAAATAGTAAATATTATGTTTACATATTTTACCTCATTTTAAAATTTAAATTTAAAAAAAAGATCTATGAAGGGCCAGATTAAACAAAATTAAATGTTTTCTTCTTGCTGTTTATAGCACTTTTCAAAGCTTTTAAACTACTAATGTACCTATATTGTGAAGCTCCAAGAGTGGGGAATGTAGTAACACAACATATTCGAAATCCCAAACTTATCTGATCCCTAAACATTCTGATCCCTAACACGAATCAAATCGAAGAGCTTTCTATCTTAACCACTATACAGCCTCTCTAAACAAAAGAACAAAGAATTATAATAGTTATAATAAATATGATTTTTAAATATTTTGACATTGAGCTCTTGAGTTCTGGGGCCTGAGAGAAATTTCCTCCATGGGTCTCTTTTATTTATTTATTTTATTGACACCCCCCCCCCCCCCCCCCGCAGAGAGGAAGAGAGAGAGAGCGGGATAGAGTTACAAACATCGATAAGAGAGAAACATTGATCAGCTGCCTCCCGCACACCTCCTATTGGGGATGAGCCTGCAACCAAAGTAAATGCCCTTGACTGGAATCAAACCTGGGACCTTTCAGCCCGCAGGCCGACGCACTGTCTACTGAGCCAAACCGGTTAGGGCTCCATGGGTCTTTATGAAAGATGTAAGACAGCAAATGTATTATGCAGTAAACTAGACCCTTACTTAGCCTTTCTTCCGCTAATGCAATAGAGAATTGTTGAAGAGCAAGATATAAACAGTGCATGCAATGACTGCTCAAATATAAAAGTCACAACATTTTACACACGAAAAGAACTTCAGAGATCATCTACTTGTTGACCTAAAACCACAGATGAGTGTCCTTTAAATTCTCAGTTAGGTCTAGTAACTATCTTTTTGTAAAAATCCCTAGAGATTTGTGTAACTTCAGCTACAAAGTCCATACCTAAAAATTACGTTTCTTCTGTTTCTTTAAGTAACCCCCATGAGCAAATGAGCTCTAAGAACCTGAGATAGACAGCAACAT